GGCTAGCCTGTTATCCCAGCGCCATTTATTTAATAGGGAATCTTTTCTCCATTGCTTGTTTTTGGCAGGTTTTTCAAATATCAGATGGTTGTAGGAGTTTGGTCTTATTTTTTGTGTCTGCGTTTGCACCAGTATAGTGTGTTTAGTCACTGTACCCATAGAGTACAGTTGGAAATTGGGTAGCGTGATGCCTTCAGCTTTGTTCTTTTGGCTTAGGATTGACTATTCAGGCTCTTTTTTGATTCCATATGTATTTGAAAATAGATTTTTCTAGTGCTAGGAGAAATGTCAATGTTTAATAGGAGCAGCATTGAATCTATGAATTGCATTGGGAAGTATGACTATTTTAATGGTATTCCTTCTTCCTATCCAATGAGCATGGAATATTTTTCTATCTGTTTGTGTCATCTCTGTTTTTTGAGCAGCACTGTTTCGTAGCTCTCCTTGTAGAGATCCTTCACCTCTCTGGTTAGCTGCATTCCTAGGTATTTCATATTTTTTGTGGCAGTCATGATCAGAAATTTCTTCCTGATTTGGCTGTCAGCTTTACTTTGTTAATGTATAGGAATGCTAGTAATGTTTGCACATTGAATTTGTATCCTGAGACTTTGCTGACATTGTTTATCAGCTTAAGAAGCAGTTGGGCTGAAATTATTTCTAGATATTGGATTATTTCACCTGCAGACAGGGATAGTTTTATTTCCTCTCTTTCTATTCGAAGCCCTTTATTTCTTTCTATTGCCTAATTGCCCTGGCCAGAAATTTCAATACTGTGTTGAATAGGAGTGCTGAGATAGGGCATCCTTGTGTCTGCCTGTTTTTGAGAGGAATCCTTCCAACTTTTGCCTATTCAGTATGATGTTGGCTGTGGTTTTGTTATATATGACTCATTATTTTGAGGTATGTTTCTTCAATACCTAGTTTATTGAGATTTTTCTTTTTTAGCATGAATCGATGTTGAATTTTATCAAAAACCTTTTCTGCATCTATTGAGATAATCATGGTTTTTTTGTCTTTAGTTTTGTTTATGTGATGAATCACATTTATTAATATGTGTATGTTCAACCAAATTGTCATCCTGGGAATGAAGCCTACTTGTTGGTGATGGATAAGCTTTTGATGTGTTGCTGGATTTGGTCTGCCAGTATTTTATTGAGAATTTTTGCATTGATGTTTTAAGGGTATTGGCTTGAAGTGATCTTTTTTTTGGCATCAGGATGATGCTGGCTTCATAGAATAAGTCAGGGAGGAGTACCTCCTCCTTAAATTTTTGGAATAGTTTCAGTAGAAATAGTACCAGCTCTTCTTTGTACATTTGGTAGCATTCAGCTGTGAATCCATCTGGTCTTGGGCTTCTTTTCGTGGGGAGGCTATTCATTACTTACTCTATTTCAGAACTTGTAATTATTCAGGGATTCAGTTTCTTCCTGATTCAGTCTTGGGAGGTGTATATGTCCAGGAATGTTCAATTTCTTCTAGATTTTCTAGTTTATGTGCATAGAGGTGTTCATAAAATTCTCTAATGGTTGCATTCTGCAGGATCTGTGGTAATATCCCCCTTGTCATTTCTGATTGTGTTTATTTGAATCTTCTTTTTTTATTTATTAGTCTACACAGTGGTCTCTCTGTTTTATTACTTTAAGAAAAAAAAAACAAGCTCCTGATTTTGTTGATCTTTTGAATGATTTTTTTTTGTGTCTCTGTCTCCTTCAGTTCAGCTTTGATCTCGGTTATTTCTTATCTTCTGATAGCTTTGGGGTTTTTTTTCTCTTGGTTTTCTAGTTCTTTTAGTTTTGATGTCAAATTGTTAATTTGAGATCTTTCTAACTTTTTAATGTGGTACTTTAATGCTATTAATGTCCCTCTTAACCCTTCCTTAGCTGTGTCCAAGAGATTCTGGTATATTATTTCTTTGTTCTCATTAGTTTCAAAGAATTTCTTGATTTCTGCCTTAATTTCATTATTTACTCAAAAGTTATTTAGAAGCAGGATATTCAGTTTCCATATAATTATATAATTTTGAGTGAATTGTTTAGTCTTGCTTCTTGCCTTCGAATATTATTGCATGTGGTCTGAGAGACTAATTGTTAGGATTCCAATTCTTTTGCATTTTCTGTGGAGTGTTTAACTTCCTATTATGTTATCAATTTTATAGTGAGTTTCATGTAGCAATGATAAGAATGTATATTCTGTTGTTTCAGGGTGGAAAGTACTGTAGCTGCCTATCAGGTCTATTTGATGCAGTGTTGACTTCAGGTCCTGAATATGTTTGTGAATACTTTGTCTTGATAATCTGTCTAATATTGTCAGTGGGGTGTTAAAGTCTTCCACTATTATTGTGGAGCAGTCTACATTTCTTTGAAGGTCTCTAAGAACTTGTTTTGTGAATCTTGGTGCTCCTGTGTTGGGTGCATATATATTGCTCTTCTTGTTGAATTGAGCCCTTTACCATTATGTTATTTCTTTCTTGCTTTTTTTTTATCTTTGTTGGTTCAAAGTCTGTCTTTTAAAAAGCTAGGATTACATCCTCTGCTTGTTTCTGTTTTCCATTCACTTGGTAGATTTTCCTTTATTCCTTTATTTTGAGCATATATGAGTCGTTGCATGTGAGATGGGACTCTTGAAGATAGCATACTAATGGGTCTTGCTTCTTAATCCAACTTGCCATTTTGTGTCTATTCGTTGGGACATTTTAGCATAAAGTGTTTGCAAAGCAGTCTCAATAGAGACAATTATTTTGTTGTCCTAAGTATTAGCAATATATCCTCATGCTACCTCTCCCAAGTATCTTATTTTAAAAGATCAAAATAATTATTGACATATTATTATTAGCCCAGTTCTTGTTCTTATAGGTATCACATCTTATTGTGGTTAAATTGTGTTGGTTAAATGTCTGTCTTCAAAATTGCACACCATTGTAGGCTCTGAGTCTGGGCTGGCCACATGCTCCACAGTCCAAGAGCTGGCTGAGGCTCCTTCCCAAGACAGAACCAGAAGAGCCACAGCTACCATGCTTTGCTTCCTCATGTGTCTTCATGCACAGTTTAAGTCTGCTCTCCAAGTGGCCATATGAGCTACAATGTCTCTCTTAGTCCTGGCACAGAGAAGGACTACACCTTTGTGCTGACTGCACAGTGTTCAGTCCCTCACCTACTCTTAGTCCATGTATTTTTGTTTCTCTTTCAGTGAGTTGGCTTCTGGAACACCAGAAGCTTATGTCATATGCTTGGAGGTGGCTCCAGGGAACTTTGAGAGAAACTATTTTCTGGTCTGGCTGCCTTTGCTTTCTTTTTGACAGACCAGTTTCTCAAACTGGCCACATCATTTCCCAACTTATTTTGGATGAAGAGTTATAGAATGTATTTGTGAATGCCACTTTATGATGTTCTTTTTTATATAGGCCAGGTGGCTTCTGGTGAGGGAACAAGGCTAGAATTTCTAATGTCTTTTCTTTGAGCCTGAAAGTGTAGGCTTTTGGAGAGGATGTTTCAGTGGGTGTACATACAGAATGTTCAGAAGCCTGAGGGAAAGTATGGTCCTGGGAGCTTACCGATAAGCCAGAGGGGAAGTGCTGGAGAGGATAAGCTGGAATCGCTGGTCCCTGGGCAAAGGTTAAATATTGGGGGTAATGCCTTCTCAGTGTTTTGGTTTGTGCACTACTCTTGCCCATTTCATTACCCATGGCTAAACTCTGACTGATAAGCTATTGTCCCTCTATTTGGAAAGACTTACCACACTTGATTGTTTCAATCCTCCTCTCCATGCAAGAGACCAACTTCACAGTTGTTTTATATTGTTTTTTTGTATAAAATCCCCTGAGATAGGTGAGCTTGTGGTTCTGGTCATTTCTCTTGGGCTCTGAACAGCACTGGTGTGTCCTTGAACTCTTTAGGGCATTTGCTGTGTGTGGTGGGAGCATCCAGATGTATACACCTTGAAAGGCTGGTTCTTGCAATGATCCTGTGAGGACACAGGATTACAAGTGGAGGAGATGGCCTGTGCTTAGACTAGGAAAAGTCTGCATGATTTCCTTCATTAGACAAGCCTTTTCTTCTTTGGTGGCATTGTGTTTCCTTGCTGATATCCGTGCCTATGACTGAACTCTGTTTAAAACAGGTAATGCTTCCTCCAGGAGCTCTTGTAAGGCAGGTCTAGTGGAAACAAAGTCTGTCAGCATTTGCTTGTCTGAAAGAATCTTATTTATTCTTTGTTTATAAACCTTAGTTTGATAGGATATTAAATTATGGATTGGAATTTATTTTCTTTAAGAATGTTGAATTTTGACCCCTAATCTCTTCTATCTTGCAGGTCCACTGTTAGTCTAATGGGCTTCACTTTGTATATGACCTGGCTTTTCTCTCTAGCTGCCTTTAACATTTTTTCTTTCATTTCACCCTTGAATATGACAATTATGTTTCTTGGTGATGATCTCATGGAGTATCTTACTAAGATTCTCTACATTTCCTGAATTTTAATGTTGGCCTCTCTAGCTGGGTTGGGAAATTTCTCATGGCAGATATGCTGAAATATTTTCTAAATTGGTCCCATTTTCCCCATCTTCTTCAGGTACACTAGTCATAGATTTGTTCTGTTTACATAATCCCATATTTCTTGGAGGTTTTGTTTATTCCTTTTTAGTATTTGTTCCTCTATTCCTGTCTGTCTGTCTTATTTCAGAAAACCAGTCTCAAGCTCTGAAATTCCTTCCTCCACTTGGTCTGCTCCGCTATTAATATTTGTGATAGCATTATGAAATTCTTGTAGTGTACTTATCAGGTCGGTTACATTCTTCTCTATACTGGCTATTTTGTCTGTCAGCTCATGATTTTTAGCCTCCTTGCGTGGGGTTACAACTAAATGTTTGGGAGGTTTTTTATTTATTTATTTATTTATTTTTTATTTTTATAGGAAGGGAGGAAGGAAGGAAGGCAGGAAGGGAGGAAAGGAGGAAGGGAGGGAGGGAGGAAGAAAGGGAGGGAGGGAGGGAGAGAGGGAGGAAGAAATGAAGAGAGGGAGAGAGGGAAGGAGGGAGAGAAGGGAAGGAAGGAAATCAGGCAGTGAGAGAGACATTGCCGACCTGGATCTAGAGGTCTACAAGTTGATTTCTTTTTTTCTTTTTTTGAGAGAAGGAAAGAAAAAAAAGGAGTGAATGAGAGGAAGAAAGAGGAAGAAAAAGAGGGAGAGAGAACGGAAATGTTGCTTTATTCTAAAAAAATGGGTATTAATAATGGCCAATCAATATTTCATTTAAACCTATGAGTAGGTGTGATGTGATATTGACAAGAATGTATATTTTGTGTATTTAAAGTGGAGAGCTCTATAAATATTTATTGTTTACTTGTTCCAGATCTGAGTTCAAGTCCTTGATATCCTTGTTAATTTTCTGTCTGATTGAGTCTAAGTCTCTATGTATCTGGGTGTTAGGATCATTAGCTCTTGTTGCATTGATCCTTTTACCACTATATCTTTGTTGCTTTAAAATCTATTTTATCAGATATGAGAATTGCAACTCCTGCTTTTTATTTATTTATTTATTTATTTATTTATTTTTGCTCTCCATTTGGTTGGTAAATCTTTCTCCATCCCTTTGTTTTGAGTCTTTGTGTATCTTTGGATGTGAAATGGGTCTGGATGTAGCATACCATTAGGTTTTGGCTGTAGTTTTTGATTGGGGGATTTAGTCGACTTAAATTTAGGGTTACTGCCATTTGATGTTAACTGGCTATTTTATCCATTTGTTGATGTAAATTCTTTATGTTGATGCTTTTTACTTTTTGGTATATTTTTAGAAAGGCTAATACTGGTTGTTTCTTTCTATGTGTAACGCTTCTTTCAGAAGCTCTTGTAAAGCAGGCCTGGTGGTAATAAAATCTCTGAGTACTTTCTTGTTCATAAAAGATTTTATTTTTCCTTCAGTTGTGAAGCTTAGTTTGGCTGGATATGAAATTCGGGGCTGAAAGCTCCGTTCTTTAAGGATGTTAAATATTGGCCCCCACTCTCTTCTGGCTTGTAGAGTTTTTGCTGAGAGATCTGCTGTAAGTTGGGAGGCTTTTTAATATTGAAGGATGGGATTGGTCCTGACATATAGTTTTAGAAATACTAGCAGAGGGCTAGAGAAAGCACCTTCTATAGAGTAATCATGCCTTATGTAAACAGTCTGTGAGACTGGTGTCCAGAGAAGACCAGGATATAACATGAATGAGGAATAGGTGCCTGGGGAGAGGGTAAGGATGCAGAGAAACCGTCAACATTCTATAGACTATATTTTAATAAGTAGGTTAAAAATCCCACCAATCGCCCGCCAGACTTCATCGCCGTGGAGAGCCGGCCTCTGGGAGCCCGCCGCCATGGGAACCTGGTGAGCGTCCAGCTGGAGGGGCAACAGCGCGGTCGAGGATGGAGGGGTCGGCGGAGCGGGGCCCGGAGGCGGACCCGGGCCTTGAGGCGACCCTGGGCCCCGAGACTGTGCTGCGCTTCCTGGGGAGCGCGGGGGCCGGGCCCACGCCGAGCTGGTGCAGCACTTCAAGGACGCCGTAGGCGGCGAGCCCGGGCGCGCTTCAAGGAGCTGGTGAACGCCGTGGCATTGGTGCGCGTGGATCCCGCAGACGGCGCCAAGTACTTACACCTCAAGAAGAGGTTCTGTGCGGGGCCGCCCGCGCCAGCTGGGGAGCCGCCACGAATCCAGGTGACCGCCGAGCCTGAGGCCCCAGACAGCCCGGCCTGGCCCGAGGTGCGCGATCCGCTCCCCAACGCAGCGATCCCGGAGGCGCACCCCGGACGGGGCCTCCAGCCTGGCGATGGGAGCCCCCTGCTGCTGGCCCCCGCACAGGCCGCCCTTAGCGCCGGGGCTCCCTGGAAAAACTCGCGGCGACGTGCAGCTCCTACCCCGGACTCCGGCCCGGGGGGCGGCGAGGACCTGGAGCCCCCGCCCCATGGCTGCGAGGAGGCGGACAGGGGCAGCTCTCTTGGGAGGGGCATCGCGCCGAGGCCGGCCCGCCAGAATTTCCGCGACCTGGTGATGTGCAGCTCCCCGCAGCTGAAGAGGAGCGTGAGTCCCGGGGGCAGCAGCCCGGGCAGCTCCTCCGGGGGAGGACGCAGCAGAGGCGGGGGTGACTCAGACAGAGCATCGGTGGCCTCGTCCGTGGAGGAGGAGAGAAGTGGCGGGGACTCCGTGACCCTAGACCCCCTGGAGCACGCCTGGATGCTTTCTGCCTCCGATGGCAAGTGGGACAGCCTGGAGGGCTTGCTCACCTGTGATCCCGGCCTGCTGTTCAAACGGGACTTCATTACCGGCTTCACCTGCCTGCATTGGGCGGCCAAGCACGGAAGGCAGGAGCCTCTGGCCATGTTAGTTAACTTCGCCAACAAGCACCAGCTGCCCGTGAACATCAACGCCAGGACGAGCAGAGGTTACACCGCCCTGCACTTGGCAGCCGTACACGGGAACATAGAGGTGGTGACGCTGCTGGTGGGGACCTGTGAAGCCGATGAGGAAATCAGGGACTGCAGTGGGAAAAAGGCCTCCCAGTACCCGAGTCAGAGCATTGCGGAGGAGATCGAGAACCTGGTGGAGCTCTGGACCAGGAAGATGGGGAAAGCGCTGCTAGCAGCGGTGGTGGGTGCTGGAAGCTTTCAAAGGTGCTTCCCTCGCACCTCATCACACACAAATTCTCACACCCCTTAGAAGATGGAGGAGACCGTTACCACCACCACCACCATCACCACTCGGCTGACGGGTGGGTCGGAGGCAAAGCCAAGGATCCAGGGCGCAAAGCCAAGGATCCAGGGTGGCTCCAGTGGACGTATAAAACCCAGGCTCAACAAAATCCGCTTCAGAACCCAGGCTGTCCACACCACACACCGTTTCAGGGACCCAGAACAGCCACTGGAGGATGTCGAGGATGAGGAGGAAGTAGAGGAGGAACGATCTGTTAAAGGCCGCTCTTCCTCCTTCATATTGAGACCAAAGTCCAATGTATTTGGGTAAAAATGGTTTCTTTTTTTTATAGATTAATATTTTTAATTACACAATTAATAATCACTATGAAAAATATGGATCACCGCAATCCCACCAACAACTGAACATTTTTCTTAGCTTTTAAATTCTTTTTATTTTATTTTATTTTTTTATTGGATTTTAGGTTTTGGGGTACATGAGCAGAGCATGCAAGACAGTTGCGTAGGTACGCACATGGCAGTGTGCTTTGCTTTGCTTCTCCCCTTCACCCACATTTGGCATTTCTCCCCAGGCTATCCCTCCCCACCTCCCCCTCCCACTGGCCCTCCCCTTTTCCCCCCAATAGACCCCAGTGTTTAGAAAATGCAAAGATTTATTTGTCTTCAGACATTCAGTAGTAGGTGTTTTAAGTAAATGAGACCAGAAAGACAAGGTAAATTATTCATTCTTGAGGGATTGGAATGGATGGGGCGGAGTTCCCTTCAAGCTAGCCTTCTGGGGAAAGTGAATTTCTTTTTAAGAGATATTATCCCTTGACCTGTGCCTCTTCTCTGCCCTGGAGTCAGTTTCTGGAGACTAGAAATGGACCTAATTTGGGGGAACAGAATCAATGAATGGGAGTTCCTTTACTTTAGCCATTCCTGGATGCCTGCACAGTAAGGAACTGTGCACTTTAATGTATCTGATTTTATAAGGGGTTACTCTTTCAAGAGCAACAACAACAACAACAAAACAAAAACGCAAATTGTAATGAAACTGGTAGTATTTGTAAGTTTGAAAACAACATACTGCCCCGTTTTTTTACTAATTTGCATTTTAAGTTACTGCTGAAGGTTAGATCAGAGTTGAAATGCAAAAATACCAATTAGAGAATACTGTGAATGAAATGAGAACCCCTTAGTATTCTATGTGTATTGTAAGTAACAGTTCAATTATTTTTTAAAAGCAATTTCAGTTTTAATCACTGAACTAAAGAAACTGGCAACATTCACTTACGTGGTATGGTTTCCACCGAACTATCTCTAACCCACTATTAAGGTACACCAGTGTTCAGGTACACTAATAACCACACAAAATTTTATTTAAGGAAGATAGTACTTAGCAAACTATGGTACTTTAAATAAAATGTTGCCTCTTGTTCTCATTCTCACTAACGTGTTACTATTCAAAAAGTTTGAATTTGCTGGGGTTTTTATTTTGACGATCATATAACCGTTCTTCTATTTGGCATAACCCTATTTAAGGGCACTTAGAGCTGAATTACCTACAGAAACTATTTCTGGTTTAAATAATTAGCATGAATTGGCCTAAGTATTAGTGAGCCCCTGTTTCTGTGAAGTAATTATTAAACAATTTAATGATTCTCACATAAGATATACTTTAATACATTGGTAGTCTTTATGACTTGTAGCAATGTTGCAAATGTTTAAAATGCTGAACTTAATTTTCCAACCTTTTCTTGACAATTAGATACCTGTCCTGTAGTTACTGAAAATCTGGGTAGGAAATCTACCCAGTTAAAATGACACTTTATAAAAGGGAATAGAGAAGAGATGGGACTATTTCTGTATTTAAATGCTGCTGGCTATTAAATTCCTTTGTATGTAAATGAAAAATGCCATTAATTAAAGACTTGTTTAAGTGTGGTTCTTAATTATATTTCCTTCATTTATATTAGAGTAAATGGCTTCATAATTACTTTAAAATTTAACCCACAAGCATATTAAATCTGTTTGTTTAAGATTAGAAATAATTTTTGAGAGGGGCTAATTTAAACACGTCCTCCTTTAGTCTTTGGGTCATGTAATTGCAGAAACCTAAGTACCTACAGCCTACAGGATAAGGGAGTTCACAGCCTGCAGGATGAACACATGTGTGAATTGCACAGAGCAATTCATAGAAATTTATAACCAGTTTGTAACATCTCTGTCTAGATGGTCATTGAATTTGTTTAAAGATTGATGAAAGGCCCGGTGTGATGTCTCACACCTGTAATCCCAGCACTTTCAGGGACTGAGGCAGGTAGATCACTTGAGTCCAGAAGTTCAAGACCAGTCTGGCTAACATGGCGAAAACCTATCTCTACTAAAAATACAAAAATTAGCCAGGTGTGGTAGTGCACACCTGTAGTCCCTGCTACTCAGGAGGCGGAGGCATGAGAATCACTAAAACACAAGAAGTGGAGGTTACAATAAGCCAAGATCATGTTCACTGCACCCCACCCCTGAGCAACAGTGAGACTCTTGTCTCAAAAAAATAATAATAAATGAAAATACAAAATATATAAACTATCAGTTTATGTGCCTTTTGTAGGATTTTGGATATGAACTGAAATGTGTACATTTGAGACACACTTTTATGCATATACATGGGTGAAAAACCTATCTAATTTTGTATAAATAGGCTGCTGGAAGGTAAAAAGCAGTCATTATTCTAAATCTATACATTCTGCCTGTATCTAGTGCAGAAAAAGCTATAACGTCCCGTTGAGGAATCTTAAATTTCATAGACATGTAAAGCTAAAGTAGCTCTAAAGAATAGATGCTTAATTGGCTGGTGACGGTGGCTCATGCCTGTAATCTTAGCACTTTGGGAGGCCGAAGTGGGCAAATCACCTGAGGTCGGGAGTTCAAGATTAGCCTGACCGACCAACATGGAGAAATCCCGTCTCTACTAAAAATACAAAATTAGCCCTGCGTGGTGGCACGTGCCTGTAATTCCAGCTACTCCAGAGCCTGAGGCAGGAGAATTGCTTGAAGCTGGGAGGCAGAGGTTGCGGTGAGCTGAGATCCTGCCATTGTGCTCCAGCCTGGGCACCAACAGCAAAACTCCATCTCAAAACAACAACAACAAAAGAATAGGTGCTTCAGAACCACCAGAAGGTTCTGGTGGACAGTCAGTATTAATCTCTTAAATGTATATGTTGGTCACTAATTACACAAATTTGATAATTTGCTAGGTCTTTAGAGATTGAGTCAATATGTCTTACCATGGTTTCCCCCCAAAGGCTTTAACTTTTCTGATAAAACAATATTTAAAAATTTCAAAAACCCATTCCTGAGGGGATCTACTTCTAGCATTCCTGTCATGATGTGCTTGTGTACAGTAAGTAGCATTTTTGGTTACTTAACTCTATATTCCTCTTATTTTTCAGTTTTCAGTTCAATTATAAAAAGCAAACGATTGATATAATTTGATGTTCATAGAGTTGTGTTTACCTTTAATGGAAAAATATATGTCGGATACTTAGATGTTTATTGATATGAGACTATATGGTTAAAAAAACTCAAGTATGTCCATATGTTTCTTACAAGGTACACTTGAAACTAGTGAGTGTCACATTTCTCTTTACTTTCATGGTATGTAAAATGCAGCTCAATTATATAACATGAATATCTGGTACTAGTATTTTCATGCCTGAGATTTTGGAGTCTAGGTTGCCTTGTCTATTGTTTTTTAAATAAGTGCTATTTGGGAGATTGTAAAATCTGTAAAGTTTGTTTTGTCAAAACAAAATGTTCACAGTAGAAAAAAAAATCCCACAAATCTGAAGCATGAAGACAAGTGTATGCAGTCATGGAGAAAATAAGGTCAAACCTTCCCTAATCTAAGCCGGTGGAAAGTTTTGCATCATGACTAGACTCATTTCTTAGTGCTTTGATTACTGGCATTTTTCTCACCTACTTATTAAAAACATACCATGAAATGTAGCAGGTTTCTCAATTATGCAAATGCTATTAACACCATGGCACTGCCTTGCTGAAATGTTCCTCCACAGCCCTGCCTCTTAGATTATAGTCAGCCAGAAAAAAAGAATACTTAAACATCAGCATTGTTTTGATTTTTCTAGTTTGGCGACGGAGAGAACAATTTAGAGGTTGGTAGATTATAAGGAGTCATAGAATAGAATACCCAACCAAGTGGCTGCAAGGGCCTTCTCAGACCGAAGGCTTGCCTTGGCTTTTACTTCCAGAAGTTTTTCCATATTTTTGTCCCAAATGATTGACGACTAATACATGGCTGATTTTATATCCATGGACCTTCCTCCTCTTAAAAGTTACATAGTCAAAGGGGGAATAGAGCAGCAAACCATCTGGTTATGTATGCACCTATGCAACAATGCTGCATGACCTGCACATGTACAGAACCTGAAGTAAAATTAAAAAAGAAGTTATAACAGGTTATTTACTATGTGGTAATACATTATCAGGCCTCGCCAGGTAGTGTGAAGGAATGACACTAAATTTGGACGTGCATCTTTTTTCACATTAACTACTTACCTATCAAAATTGCTTTGAGCCCATTTTATCTCTTTAATCCACCACCAGATGGACCCTTCTTCCACAAACTAGCTTACTCCATGTTATTTTTCTTATCAATCACCAGAAAACTGTCATATTAAATGTTATTTTCTTGTTTTTCAAAAGGTTACATTATCAGTTATAGTGAAAAAATGTTTTGTCGAAGGTAGACGTTATTTCAGTATTTACTATAGTTGCTACCTACCTCTCAGAGACATGGTCTGTTTTCCTTAATCATTACAATTAATTATATTTTATAACCCTGTTTCTAAAGAACAACTTAATGACTCTAGCCATCTCAGTCACAGATGTGTAGTCAATTTTACCTTTTAACTAACCGCTCCCACGTAATAAAACTCCGATGAGTCCATATACATCTTTTATGGTATAATATATAAAGTTAGCAGGAAGTGCCCTCACCCTTAGGGAATACCACAATCAGGACTGCAAGACATGAATGAAACTCATGCCTTGAGGTGTCTTTCTGGAAGAAATTTCTTCTCTACTTACCAAAATAATAGTTCTAGCCTTTGTCTTCCATATTGACAGGTGGAAAAACAACCACCAAATTTGAAGCATGGAAGAAAATAGTTGCTGAGATTGTTTATAATCATTCCTACACTCTGTGTTCCCTTAGATACTCTGGTAGTGCTTCATGTGACTAGTTTGCTAATATTGCTGTAAAGATTATATTGTAAAATTTGAAGACAGATTATGTTATTTTATTATACTCCATGAATCTATATTATTAGACTGATGCTTTATCTAAAATGCTTTGTGTTTGTATAATACATTTTGACCAATTTTACTACCATGTGTTGTGTAATAAGAATATACTTTTGTTCTTGCAGAAACTGCTGCTAACTTTTAAAGTTGTTTGGCTTTCATGGCAGCAATTGTGAATATGTATGAAGTCCACGCTGTCAAATATAATGCCATCCTGCAGAATTAGCCATCGCACCAGAGCAATATTGCTTTCCATAGAATTGTGCTAGTTAATGAGTCCAAACTCTGCATGACATTGGAAATTTCATAGAGCATAATTAATGCTGAATTAAATTTTGAGCTTTTAGTCAGAACCCATCGTCAAGTCTTTTGAGGAAAAGTAGTTTATTTTAAAATATTCTTTGTTTTATTTGCCAAACAAATTATGTTTTATACTCAAAGTCTTCATTTTCTTGGGCATTATGTTTTCATTGTTCTCCTGGAATGAGAAATAGTTAATATTCTTACAGCCAAACAGCCATCAGCTCACTTTAATTGATTATGTGATATTTTCTTATTTAAGTTTGTACCATTCTAAGAAGCATATAAGTTGACCCAAGATGCATCCCAAGACATCAATGATTTTCAGGCTATATCCATTTATTAAATATGACTAGATTCTTACTACTGCTACATCTTTGCCTTCTTAAAGTTGGCTGAAGTTTCCTCTGTGTAAATTTAATCACCATTTTGAAGTGATTTAGAAGAGTATACTACCTTAGGCCAGAAAATGCTTGCTCTAACTAGAAAGTAAAGAACAAAACCCCATTGTCAGTTTGTATTTGGACGATGTCACATAGGTGGATGTTAATTTCTCTCTAAATTTTACAGAAATATAAAGATAATTTCACTTATAAAAAAGAGCCTAACACAAGAACAGAAAATCAAACACCACATGTTCTCACTCATAGGCTGGTGTTGAACAATGAGAACACATGGACACAGGGAGGGGAGCATCACACACTGGGGTGCATTGGGGGGAAATAGGGGAGGGACAGTGGGGGGTGGGGAGTTGGGGAGAGATAGCATGGAGAGAAATGCCAGATATAGGTGAAGGGGAGGAAGGCAGCAAATCACACTGCCACATGTGTACCTATGCAAAAATCTTGCATGTTCTTCACATGTACCCCAAAACCTAAAATGTAATTTAAAAAAAGAGCCTTGATATGGTTTGAATCTATGTCCCTGCCCAATTCTTCTGCCAAATTGTAATCTCCAGTTTTGAAGGTGGGGCCTGGTGGGAGGTGATTGGATCACGTGGTCAGTTTCTCATAGTTTGCCACAATCCTCTTTGCTGTCATTTCAGTAGTGAGTTCTTTTGACGTCTGGTTGTTTAAAAATGTGTGGCACCTCCCTTCTTCCTCCTGCTTCTGCCATGTAAGACATGCCTGCTTTCCATCACCTTCTGTCATAATTTTAAGTTTCCTGAGGCCTCCCCAGAAGCAGATGCTGTTATGCATTCTATACAGTCTGTGAAACTGTGAGCCAAATAAAACTTTAAAAGAATTACCCAGTCTTAGGCATTTCTTTATAGCAGTGTGAGAATGGACTAATACAAGCCCTAATCTAGAAACATTGGATTTAAGAAATTATCTCGTTTTGGCCAGACGTGGTGGCTCAAGCCTGTAATCCCAGCACTTTGGGAGGCCGAGGCGGGTGGATCACGAGGTCAAGAGATTGAGACCATCTTGGTCAACATGGTGAAATCTCGTCTCTACTAAAAATACAAAAAAAAAAAAAAATTTAGCTGGGCATGGTGGCGCATGCCTGTAAACCCAGCTACTCGGGAGGCTGAGGCAGGAGAATTGCCTGAACCCAGGAGGTGGAGGTTGCGGTGAGCCGAGATCACACCATTGCACTCCAGCCTGGGTAACAAGAGCGAAACTCCGTCTCAAAAAAAAACAAACTTATCCCGTTTTTTGCTTGTTGACTTTTCATAACCTGACATTGAATTGAAAGGATCTAATGCATCCTTGGGCCAATGGGTTATTGTTTCTTCTTAAAGTAAATTCTAATAATATTATGTATCTTGATCCAAATTTGGGAGATGAGCATTTAAGTCATTTTCCTACCAGGTCATGTTTTAATGATTTGAGAGCAGAGCTTTGCAAACTGCTTATTTCAGTGCAAAGAAAAATTGATTACAAAAATACTTTTAGTAAATAAGTTTTATTCCTCAAACAATAAAGTTGGGTAAAATGTTCACTTTCTTTAACATCTGTTCTGGTTATGAGGACTTCTCATGAGGTAAGTTGTCAAGGCCACCACCTATGGGGTTCTGTCCTGCAGACCCTTACTCAACAACGAATTAGTAAATTCACTCAGACACAGATGTTCAATGCATGAGCAGGCTGCGGTGTCTGGGCCACTCACAGAAAGAGATAGCAGCCACCGGCCCTGACATACTTGCCTCATCGACCTTTATTCATCACACATTAAATGAGAAACACTTTGAGTCAACACAGCTAGAGTGCAGACATTACAGGCCAGGTTCCTAGGCCTAAAGTAAACACCATTAGTAGGTAATATCCCTGGATGACCTTTCCCCAAGAGATCCATCCAGAATGAGTGAGGGCTAGTTTATAGGACCACACGAGTAAACAAGTTATTTGTCTCTACGCCATAAGGGGACAAGGCTGCCTTCAGCCAAGAACTATGGTAGTAAAAACCCTTAGACAAAAGAGTCTGTGTATACAATCTATAACTAAAATGTCTCCCACCAGCCTGACTGAATCCCCGTGGTAAGTTTGCAAGTATTCTTGAGTTCTGTGCTGACTACTCTGAGCAAGAGCCCTCCCATGTTTCTGAATCATCTTCATGTTGCATTCAGATTTTTTTTTAACAGAGTAAACTCCTTGAGCTTCAGCTCTACATAATGTGTAAGATGTTATGGGATAATTGGGAGAGAACTCTGGGGTGTAACTTGAAAAGTTTTGTTTTAAAATCCCAAAAATGTACGTGGATGATGGTATAAAAGAGCATTGTTTTTTAATTTGTATTCACATAGCACCAGAACACACACATTGTTAGTTAAAAATATTTTTTAAATTTATTTTATTTGTTAAACTGAGATCACACCATTGCACTCCAGCCTGGGTAACACATTTGGTGTTAATTTTACATGTAATATAAGATGCAGGTTTTGGAGACAAGATTTCAATGTTTTCATCTGGGCTTTGTATTAGATTGCAGTAACTTGGAATTAGGATTTCTTTCAGCATCTTAATCCACTGAGAAGTGAATAAAAACAGGTGAGGCAGTTTCACTACTCTGAGCCAATAAAATGTGGGCTACAAAAAATATCCCTCTGTGCCAGATTACAGGGGCTATGATTTTTACTGCTAAAATTTTCAAGAGAAAAGGTTTTATATCTTTTCCCAAGAATGGGTTGACCAGGTAGTAGAGAGTTATTAAAGTTCATCCCTGCAAGAAGCTTCCTGCATGATGGCACAGCAAGTGAG